GGCTTCCCATCTCCCTGGGGCGCTGCCAACACCGGCAGGCGGCTGGACCCGGAGCTGCCGCAGGAGTCACTCCCGCACCTGCACTGGACCTGGACCCGGACCCAGACCCGGACCCGGACCAGCACCACCGCCCGGGGCCCCATGCCCTGCGGCCCGGCTCCTGGAGCTCAGAGACAGCTGGGAGGCTCCCGCGGACGCTTCTCCTTATTTATATGTTAATACGTTTGTAAACTCATGTACAGTTTTTTTGGGGGGAGGCGGTGGGGGGCGGAGGTTACAATTGGGTCGTTTGCTGTAACACCTGAGCTCCCGGGCTGCTGAGTCAGGCAGGGCGGCGGCCTGGGACTGTGGCACAAGGCGAAGTAAAGGGTGGGACCGCCTGGCGTGCCGGCTGCTCTCTGCTCTCCTCATCTGCCATCTGGGGGTGGGGGTGCGAAGGAGACCCAGACCTGTCCTTGTCTTTGTCCTTGTCCTTGTCCTGGGGCAGGAGCTGCTGGGGGTTCTTGTAGGTTGCCCGCTGCTCTGGCCCCGGCCCTGGTGAATTCTCATTCGACTCATACACTGAGTGGGTGGGAGCTGGGGGCAGGAGGTTCTGCCCGGCAGGCCCTCTGAGGTTCCCCCTATGAACTGGAGCGCCCCAGAGGGGTGAGCACTGCTTCCCTGGCTGCTGGGCTGTATCCCCAGGCCAGGCCTCCCTCTCTGTTCCAGGAGCCACAAACCTCTGAGAGCTGGGCAGCACCGGGTACACCTGCAGGGTTACTTGGGGCCAGGCCGTCCGGCTGGGGACTTGCTGGTCTCCAGGGCCAGCCAGCCAGCCTGCTGGAGGCCTTGTTCTTGGGAGAGTGAAGGCTGACCACACCAACTCTGACCGTCTGTCCTGGGCCCTCCCTGGCCCCACGTTGGTCCTGCAGGCCCCTGCCACACCTTCCCCTTTGCCACCTTCTGCCATCTTCCAGGAGGCTGCGTGCTCTTGCTGCTTCCCCGGGCTGGGGCCAGCCACTTGGTGGCCGTTGGTCTGTGAGCTGAGCTTTTAGTAGCTCCTTTTACAGAACTTGGCGCCTTCTGGGCATGTGTCCCGGAAGTCAGGGCTGGGGACACCGGTGAGAGCAACATGCAAGGAGCAGGAGGAAGACTGTCCTGACCCCAGGGGAAGGCAGGAACTTTATATGCTTCACGTGGGTTTTACTGAAAAGACTGCTGCTGTGCACGTTGCGGGCAGTGGGCCTTCCAGGTCAGGACCTTCTTGCTGCATAGGTGGGGTTGGCTGTGGGCTCCGCCAGACCCTCGGTGAGCAGTAGTGGGGCTCAGGAAGCTACCAGGAGGAGGGCGTGTGATCCTGAAAGACAGTCACAGACAGCAGCTGGCTGGAGCCCTTGGGACAAGTCCAGGGTGGGATAACCCCTGCTTCTGGAGGCCAGCTGTGGCTGGGACTGTTGAGGTCGGGGCCTCCTGAGTAGGCCAGCACATTGAGGTTTCGGCGAGCGTCAGGCATGGAGCCGTGGGTGTGCTCAATTTGCTTTCAAACACAGGCTCCTGGGCTGAGGAGGCCTGGAGCGTAGGCTGTGGGTCTTGCCTGTGTCCTTTGGGGGGCAGTCGGGGCAGACCTCCAGCCTGTTCACATTCCCTGACTGGCACCAACTGCTCTGTGGTTGGCTGTTCATAGGGCAATTACACTGAAAGGGAAGCGGCGGGGTCTCGGCTCCCCCGTAGGATCCACACTGGGCCCTGACCCTGGTTGCTTTCTGCCAGGTCTCATGGGCTCATCTGGAATAGCCTTGACCGGGGGATTGCTGTCTGAGGTGACTGCAGGAGCCACTGCTGTAGCTGGTGGCTGTCCCCTACCTGAGGGTGCTGTGCCCTGTGCTGGGTGATAGGGACCCTGAGTCTGCTGGTGCAGGGCCCTGCGCTGGGGCGGGGCAGGTACTGTGGGGCTCCAGGCGTTCACTCACACCCCTACCGTGGCCTCTGCAGTGGACACCCTGCTGAAGGCGTCCCAGGGTCCATAGACGGCTCTTACCCATTTGCATCCATTGTCTTTCATCTGATGACCCGCCCCAGGTTTACTTTCTCTTTTGATGGCTCTGACCTCTTGACCTTGATAGCCACACATCTGAGAGCCTCTGAATGTTCAGCATTCACTCACATGGTTGAAACGTGGGCCTTGTTCTTGACTGTTTGGAGCATGGTGTGGGGCTGCTTGACCAGACTGCCTTTGGTACCAGGTCAAATCAAGACACGTGGCTCCAGGGCGCCCTGTTGCTTCCTGAAACCGTTTCTGCTGCTGTGCTGCAGCTGCCGTCCTAGCTGTGGACCCACGCCTGTATTTCCAGCCGTAGAAACCACTTTGGAACCACAGGCTCACTACTCACGTATCCACGTGGACTTCAGTCTCATGTCCAGGTTCCCAGGGCTACTGCAACAAAGTGTTACAAACTGGGTATTGTGGGTGGAGGGTATAGCTCAAGTTGGTAGAGTGTGTGCTTAGCATGAGGTCCTGGGTTCAATCCCCAGTACCTCCTCTGTAACATAAGTAAATAAACCTACCCCCCCAAAAACAAAACAAAACACCCAACAATGTATTGTCTGGGTGCTGGAAGCTGGAAGCCTCATGTCCAGGCATTGGCAGGGCTGGGCTCACTCTGAAGGCCCAAGGGAAGGGAAGGTGTGCTCCGGACTCCTGGCTTAGGGCAGCCATGCCCTGTAGCTCAGAATACCTGGCAATCCTGTCTTTATGTTTCCTTCCGTCTGTGGGTGTCTGTCTCACAGTCCAAATTCCCCCTCGTAAGGAGGCCAGGCCTAGTGGATTAGGGCCACCCTAATGACCTGGTTTTAACCAGAGTACTTCTGTAAAGTCCCTGTTTCCAAAGGTCACACTCTGTGGTACTCAGGTTAGGGCTTAAACATATCTGGGGGGGATACACAATTAAGTCCTTAAGATAGCCCACACTTGCGTTCTTCAACATTCTGTTGAGTCAACTGATTTTATTGAACGGTGTCAACACGTACTCGGTCTCCCAAATCAGATCATGACTGCTGGTCTCCCTTGCATCCTAAGCCTAACTGGCAGGCAGACCCTGCCCCTCTGCCCAGACCCTGGTTCTGCGTGCCCTCTGTTCACCTTCCCGCCCTCCACCCCTGCCAGTGCCCTCCGGCCAGCCCTGTCTGCTTTATGTGCTGTCCGGCCGGCAGGTCTGCGCCCCGCAACGCACCGCACTCAGGCCCTCCAGAGGGTCAGGGAGGGCAGCCCAGGCTCAGCCCCTTTGCGTCAGACCCTGAACTCGGCTCCCTCGGTGTCCAGGCCCTTTACCCACCCCACTCCCATGCCCTGCTTTCCTCTATCAGCTCAGCTGTCCCGAGAATCCGTGCAGGACACGCGGCGCGCGTCTCCCAAGCCCGCGTCTGGGCGGCTGCTAAGCGCGAGGGGCGCACGTAGGGCCGGCTGAGGTCCGCCGGC